ACCTGATTAGACTAGTTATCATTTGGACCTGGGAAGATTGGGCAGAACCCACTCCTATTGTTCTATTGAAATTTAATGGTTGAGATTACACAGAATGTATGACAAAACTGATTTAAAGATGTATAATTGTTGTGCATACATGCACTGTAAATCAATCCCAATCCAGGATTCAAATTCTGAAAAATGGCAGACCTTTAAATTCAGATATGGAGCAGAAATACAGCAGCCCTGATAGAGATGTTTGTGTGTAATGTAGCATGTGTGCCTGCGCTGTAAATGTGTGACAGAGCTTGAAGGCACAGACATGAAATTGTCAGTCCTCTCCTCTTGCTTATCAAAATACTGCTTTCATCATTTTGCGACGTGACGGCAATGTGCACATCTGTAATACATCTCTTATCATTGCCTCAGGAGCTATTTAAACTCTGTGTATTTTGTGTGAAGGCCCCAGACTGGCTTATATCATCACAGACTCTCCCTCAGCATCCTTTTCTTTTTTTTAATGACATTCGCAAAAAAAGCTGCTTCAAATGTTCCCGGCCTGGCACTCGGCAAAAAGGGAAGATGTGCGATGGAGTTCACAGGCGCAGCCGAATATTTTGGAGGAATAAATTAGCAGCTTGGTTCTTTGGTGCCATGCCAAGACTTCTGGGAAGTAATCCAGCACCTTGGAAAGACAAAGATTTGGATGCCATATTGGATCCACTGTAATTTGAGGTTAATTGAATTGAAAATTCCCCCTTTCTCACCCAACAAAAAAAGAAATTGTCCGTAGAGAATGAAGAACTGAAGGCCTATATAGAAAATATAGCATGTGTTTAATGTTTTATGCAGCTGTTTATTGAATCAAAATAAACAGTGGTAAATTGTCATCAAATGTCTTTATTTCCCTTGATGAATACTCATGGAGCACTGCTTGCCACAGTGCAATGTCTTCTTCTCTGCTTAGTTTTAGTGTTTGTGATTGAATTCTAATTAATGGCTCAGAGGAAAATGCAATGCATTCCTGTAGCAGAAACAGATGGAGGGTAGCGAATGTTCGGCTGTTTGGTAAATGGGGTCTGCGGAAATGATCCAGGCATCGATGATGTCTGAGCCCTCATCATGTCCTGGACTTCACATTCTAATAATGACTAATGTGTTTGCAGACATCAGCCTGTTCTCGTTAGG